TAGAAAATAAATCATGAGTTGGGCGTTGGTGGCACATGCCTTTAATCCCAGCACTCGGGAGGCAGAGGTAGGCGGATCTCTGTGAGTTCGAGGCCAGCCTGGTCTGTAGAGTGAGTGTCAGGATAGGCTCCAAAGCTACACAGAGAAACCGTCTCGAAAAACCAAAAAAAAAAAAAAAAAAAAAATCATGAAATGATTTTACTACCACAGCAATGTATCTTGATGCCAATAAATTTAGATCATGATTTATCTCCTACAGCTACAGTGAGGAAAAAGAAAATCATAACTCTTTTGTGAAACAGTATAATATTATTTTAAAGTACCTGTCAAAAAAAGGTACAGAGGCCGGGCGTTGGTGTCGCATGCCTTTAATCCCAGCACTCGGGAGGCAGAGGCAGGCGGATCTCTGGGAGTTTGAGGCCAGCCTGGTCTCCAGAGTGAGTGCCAGGATAGGCTCCAAAGCTACACAAAGAAACCCTGTCTGGAAAAACAAAAAAAAAAAAAAGAGGTACAGGACCTGAGGGTGGCTGAAGAAGGAGGTTTCTATTCTGCCTGGGTCCTCTGCCATTTTGTTTAGCCCCAAAATAAAAACACAAACACTCTATTAATTATTAAACTGTTTGGCTGATGGTTTAGGCTTCTTATTGGCTAGCTCTCTCTTAATTATTAACCCATTTCTATTAATCTATGTATTACCACGAGGCTGTGGCTTACCTGTAATCCAGCATGCTACTCCTTCTGCAGCATGGTGTCTCTTCCTTGAGGCTTCTCTCTCTTTCCTCTCCCCTGAATTCTCCTGGTCTGGTAGCCCTGCCTATACTTCCTGCCTGGCTACTGGCCAATCAGTGTTTTATTAGTCAACCAATAAGAGAAACATATATACAGAAGGACATCCCTCATCAGGTGGCAATGCTGAATTTGACCAAACATGTAAGGAAGAATTAATAGCATTTCTTATCAAACTATTCTCCATAAATGAGGCAGAAGGATTACATCTTAACATATTCTACAAGGCAGTGTTACCTCTAGTTGGACTTTTTTGGACCAACAGCTTCCAAATAATGGCACAGAGACTTCTTATTAATTGTGAGAGGTTGACCTTACCTTAGGCTTGTTCCCAACTAGCTCTTTAAAACTTAAGTCAACCTGTTTATATTCTGCCATGTGGCTCATTACCTCTCCTCCATACAGTAATTTGATATCCTCTGTGTCAGATTCCTCCTAGAGTTCTTATCTCTGCCTGGAAGTCCTGCCTATCCTCTGGTGCCTAACTATTGGCCATTCAGCTCTTTATTTAACCAGTCAGAAGGTGCCTTGAGGAGGTGAGTTAAAACAGCAATGCATCTTCACACTGTGTGATCAAATATCCCACAACAGTTACCCTGAATCCAAAGCAGATGTGGGCAGACTATAAAGAGAAAACTCCAAGCCAACATTCCTGATGAACCTTTAGGTAAAATATCCCAAACAAATACTGGAACACTGGGACCTGAAGAGATCACTCAGTGGTTAAGAGCACTTGCTGCTCTTCTAATGGATCTGGGTTCAGTTCCCAGCAACCACTTGGCCAACACAGCCACTGTAACTCCAGTTCCAGGGGTTCAAACACCATCTTCTGGTCTCTGTGAGCTCTGCACATACGTGGTGCTGCTGTGGGATAATCTGTCTGTATACTGTGAATATGTGTTACTCTCATGGTTGATAATAAAGCCGATTTGGCCTATAGCAAAGCAGAATAAGGCTAGGCAGGGAAACCAAACTGAAAATGCAGAGATGAAGATGGGTGGGATATGAGCCAGTCACCAGAGGAACAAGACGTGCTAGAGAACAAGTAAAGCCACGAAGCCACGTGGCAAAATATAGATTAATAGACAGGGGTTAATTTAGTTGTTCAAGCTAGTTAATAACAAGCCCAAGTTATAGGCCAAACATCTTGTAGTCAATATAAGCTTCTGTGTAATTATTTGGAATCAGGTGGTCAGGACAAAAGAAATGCTCTACCCCCATTTACATGGTGTACCACCATATGTGTAGACGAAACATTCACACACATAAAATAAGAATAAATAAATATTTAGAGATACTAAAAAATGTAAGACACTAGGACAGTAAGAAGATCTCTCACCATGGGATCTATCACAGAGATTCAAGGATAGTTCATTAACAAGAAAGCAAACAACAGAGTTTAAAATAGGCAGTTCTCAAAAGAAGACATGAAAATGGCCAGCTGGTATATAAAACATCACCAGCCACCTTGGGAATGTGATTCAAAACCATGGCACATTGTAGATACAATGCCTGATAGAATGGCCATAATGAAAAAGACAAAAGATAATAAGTGCTGGTAAGGATGTTATAAACAGTAACCCTTCAGCACTGTTATGGGGATGTAAACCAATGCAGCCATCAGGAAATACAGAATGGAGATGTCTCAAAATGTTAAAAATAATCCAGCGATCCTACCACTGGGTATGTAGTTAAAGGAAGTTGAATCGATGTGTCAAGGAGATACCTGTCAGCCTCCATCTTACTTTTGTAGTTCTATTCACACTAATCAGAACAGGCACTCACTCAAAATGTCCATTCTCATTGGGATGAAGGCTGGAAATGCACTATACGTAAACACGCATATGAATACTGTGAAATCTTGTTATTTGAGACGACAGGGATGAATCTGGAGAACATTATATTAGGTGAAATAACCCAGGCACAGAATGACAAATAGCAGCATTGTCTCATTCACACGTAGGATGTCAGGAAGCTGCTTTTATAGGACAGAACTGAATGGGGGTTCCCAGAGTTTGGGTGTTAGGTGCTAGGGAGAGATGGGAGGATATTAGTCATGGAGACATAGTTATACTTAGATGGGAGGATGGAAAGTACCAGAATAGGAAGACAGAGACAGAAATAAAGGGAGATTGTTGGGGTTAAGGTACATGGGAGAGATGATAGGTAGTGAGGAGAGACTTGGCAATGAATACAAATGGCCATAGTGTTTCTGCCCTTGGTGATGAAATGATCTAAAATTGAACTGAAAGATTATTGTACAACTGTGCAGTAAGGCTGTCTTAAAAATATAATACTGCCAGTGTGTGTTTGGCAGATGACTTTAATCCCAACACTCTGGAGACAGGCAGGAAGATTTCTTTGTTTTTGAAGCCAAATTCTAGGCCAGTGAAAGCTACATAGTTAGACCCAGTTTCAATAAAATAAAGTATTAAGGGCTAATGTTCTACTAAGGATAAAATCACTGAAACATATTGTATAAGAGTAGATGGCAAGCTGGGCGGTGGTGGCGCATGCCTTTAATCCCAGCACTTGGGAGGCAGAGGCAGGCAGATCTCTGAATTTGACGGCAGCCTGGTCTACAGAGTTCCAGGACAGCCTCCGAAGCTGTAGAGAAACCCTGTCTTGAAAAACAAACAAACAGACAAACAAACAAGAGTTGATGACAATTAGTTAAAATGTATAGTTAAACATTAAAAAAATTAAGACATAAACAATATCCCTATAGTAGAAGTAAAATGGAATCGCAAAATTAACATAAAATGAAGACAGAAAAAAAGGAAATAGGAAACCCGAAGGTAACTAACAGGGAAGTAAAACTTAGTTCTATTTTCGAGATGGTAGATTTCAGTAGAACCAAATAAACAATTATGTTAAGTGTAACTGGTCTATAATAACAATCGAAAAACTGAGTTCTCAGAAGATGAAACACGAATAACTGAAGAACACTTAAAGATGTTCAAAGTCCTTAGCTATCAGGGAAATTCGAATTAAATCTACTTTCAGATTTCATCTTACCCCTGTGAGAATGGCCTAAGCTATGGATACACATAGAAGAATTAATTTTCAAAATTGTGCCTATAGTAATAATATTTTACTTCAGGCTAGTGGAAATACAATTTAGAGAGTCTGAATTTTAAGATGAGCATTTTGCAAAGAAAATAAATCACCAAACATAAAAAAAACCTCTCCATTAGTTCAGGCATGTAGGTGCCACATAGTGTGGCTGTATGTGGACTGCCTTGGACATCAATCCGTGACTCCCACCTTGCTTGAATTAGGGGATCTTTTTTTTTGATATTTTGTAGAGGAGAGATGTCTCTGGGGATTCTCCTGCCTCTGCCTCATCTCTCCATGGGAACCCAGGACTACATGTTCACAATACATGAACCACATACTCAGTAACAGGACTTGGTGTAACGAGTCCAAGTGATTTTAGAATGTTCCCAATTCTGAAAGAAAATTAAGCCACCAAGAAATGGTATATCTGTCAAACTATCTTATTTAGGTTGACTAATAGCTATCTGGTAGAACTCAAAATATTTTTTAGCAAAATTGTAAAACAAAAGTATACCAAAAATGAAATGTTGGGAGTGGATTTCAAAAAACAAATATGAAAGGTGGCTCTTGATGATCGCATGACATTGTTGGCAGAAGTCAAGAAGACCTCTAAATAAATGGAACGATCTCATGGTCATCACTTGGAAACTCTACATTATTAAAATGGCAATGTTAACCAAATTTATTTAAATATTAAACACAATCTCAGCAGGCTATTATGTAGTCAGTGGCAAGGCTATTCTAAAACTAACGAAACCAGAAGGATGCAGGCTAGGAAAAAAACAGTCATTTCAGGAAAAGTGCATTGAGGCTTCTTCATTCGCACAATGCCACACTCTCAAGACAACATGGCATTAACAAAAACGTTAAGAATATGGATCCAAGCACTACTATAGATTTCAAAACAGATGCTAAAAAAGTTCCATCAGGAAACAAAACAAAACAAAACAATACTCCTCAATGTAAGGTGCTGGAGTGCAGGCAAAACTGTCTGTAGCAGTCTTGGGCTCTGCCCACTGCCTGCCTGCTCTCTGATTGGCTGGTGCCTCTGAGGAGGTCAGGAAACAGCGGTTAAAACTCCAGTTGGGCGGGGCTAGGAGACAAGGTAGACCAAGGGAAGGGCGATTAGTTTGAGCAGATGCTGGACTAGGATCATGAAGGAAGAGGTGAAGGGAATTCCTGTGAGAGTGGCATTGCGTTGCCGCCCTCTGGTCCCTAAAGAGATTGGCGAAGGCTGTCAGATGTGCCTGTCCTTTGTGCCTGGGAAGCCTCAGGTGGTGATTGGTACTGATAAATCCTTTACCTATGATTATGTGTTTGACCCCTCCACTGAACAGGAGGAGGTCTTCAACACAGCAGTAGCACCTCTCATTAAAGGTATATTTAAGGGTTACAATGCCACTGTCCTGGCTTATGGACAGACTGGCTCCGGAAAAACCTACTCTATGGGAGGTGCATATAGTGCAGATCAAGGCTCTGAACAGACCGTCGGGGTCATTCCTAGAGTAATACAACTTCTTTTCAAAGAAATGGATGAAGAGAGAGACTCTGAGTTTACACTGAGCGTGTCTTACTTGGAGATTTACAACGAAGAAATTTTGGACCTTCTATGCTCACCTTGCGAGAAAGCTTCTCAAATACATATTCGGGAGGATCCCAAGGCGGGAATAAAGATTGTGGGACTCACCGAGAGGACGGTTTCAGATGCCTCTGACATGGTTTCCTGTTTGGAGCAGGGAAACAACTCTAGGACTGTAGCTGCCACAGCTATGAATTCACAGTCTTCCCGCTCCCATGCTATCTTCACAATTTCCGTAAGGCAAAGGAAGAAAACGGACACGAACAGCAGCTTTCACTCGAAGCTGTGTCTGGTAGATCTCGCTGGATCAGAAAGACAGAAGAAAACCAAGGCGGAAGGTGACCGCCTGAAAGAGGGCATTCATATTAACCAAGGACTCCTGTGCCTGGGAAATGTAATCAGTGCTCTTGGGGATGGCAAAAAGGGTGGGTTTGTGCCCTACAGAGATTCCAGGTTAACTCGCCTGCTTCAAGATTCTCTGGGAGGCAACAGCCACACTCTTATGATTGCCTGTGTGAGTCCTGCTGATTCCAGTCTAGAGGAAACATTAAACACCTTACGCTATGCCGACAGAGCCAGAAAAATCAAGAATAAACCTGTAGTTAATACTGATCCCCAGACAGCTGAACTTAATCACCTGAAGCGTCAGGTTAAACAGCTGCAGGTCTTGTTGCTACAGACTCGCGGAGGAAGCCTGCCCGGATCTATAAATCTGGAACCATCTGAGACTCTCCGATCTCTGATGGAGAAGAATCAGTCTCTGGTTGAAGAGAATGAAAAATTAAGCCATGCTCTGAGTGAGGCAGCTGGTCAGACAGCCCAGATGTTGGAAAGGATCCTTACAACAGAACAAGCAAATGAAAAAATTAACACCAAGCTACAAGAGCTCAGGCATCACGCAGCCTGCAAACTGGATCTTCAAAAGCTTATGGAGACTTTGGAAGACCAGGAACTAATAGAAAATGTAGAGACAATTCATAGTCTGCAACAAGTGATCATTCATCTATCAGATGAAACTGTTGCTTTCCTGGCTGCAGCCACTGAATCGGCAATGGAACTAGATGCTCAAGTGGTCGACCGTCCAGAGACTAGTAGGTCTTGTGATTCTTTCACCACCCAGTATGCTCTGCGTCAAGCTCAGATGGCTAAGGAACTCACTGAGTTGAATAAAGCCCTTACACTGAAAGAGGCCCTAGCTAGGAAGATAACTTTCAGTGGCCAACTACAGCCCATTCAGGGACAGTATGAGGCTAACATCAAAAGTCTAGAGTCAGAAGTCAGCATTCTGCAGAAGGAAAAGGAACAATTACTTCTGGAACTTCAGACGGCCAAGAAGGATGTCAACCAAACCAAGTTGAGTGAGCACCGTCGCAGATGTCTACAAGACCTGGAGGCTCAAATAGCTGGTTTGAAGAAGAAGCTAAACGAACAGTCCAAGCTTCTGAAACTGAAGGAGTCCACAGAGAATACTGTCTCCAAACTGACTCTGGAGATACAGATGATGAAAACCCAGCGAGTACAGTTAATGCGTCAGATGAAGGAAGATGCTGAGAAGTCTAGACAGTGGAAGCAACAAAAGAACAAAGAAGTAATCCAGTTAAAAGAACAAGACCGCAAGAGGCGATACGAGCTGCTTAAGCTTGAAAGAGACTTCCAGAAACAGTCCAATGTGCTCAGGCGCAAAACTGAAGAGGCAGCAGCTGCCAACAAGCGGCTCAAGGATGCCCTCCAAAAGCAACAAGAAGCCACAGACAAACGGAAAGAAACTCAGAGCCGGGGAATAGAAAGCACAGAAGCACGAGTGAAGAACTGGCTTAGAAATGAAATTGAAGTTAGGATCAGTACCGAGGAAGTCAAACTACATCTGAATGACCTTCTGGAAGAGCGAAAGATCCTGGCCATGAATGTGGCTCAACTGAGAGAAAATAAGGAACCTGGCGAGAACCCACCCCCTAAACTCCAGAGGAGTGCATCCAATAGTGATGAAGTATGTGGTCATGTGTCAGAGCTAGAGAATTCTATTACAAAGCAGATAAGAAGCCTAGAGTCTGAAATGGAACTCAGGAGTGCTCAGATTGCAGACCTACAGCAAAAGCTCCTGGATGCAGAAAGTGAAGACAGGTCAAAACGACACTGGGAGAATATCACTACAATTCTGGAAGCCAAATGTGCCCTAAAATATTTGGTTGGAGAGCTGGTCTCCTCTAAACTATGTGTCAGTGAGCTTGAAAGCAACCTGAAACAGACCCAGGCCAGCTGTTCTAAAATGCAGATGATGCTGTTTGAGGAGCAGAGTCATCTTGTTGTGGTAGAGACAGAGTTGAAAGCTGAGTTGCTTAAGGTGGAGCAAAAGCACCAAGAGACGGTGCTGGCCCTTCTCAGTCAGCTGCAGCAAAGGCCAACAGCAGAGAAGCCGCCAGAGGTGTGGGTGAGTGGGAAGGAACAGCAGCTGCTGGACACATTGCAGTGTCAGGACGAACAGGTTAGGAAAATGCAAGAATTGTGTGAGCAAAACCAGCAGCTTCTCCAAGAGAATGAAATCATCACACAGAAACTGACCCTCCTTCAAGGGGCCAAAGGCCAGAAACTTCATCTCGGCAAGGATGGCCTTCAATCTCCAGATTCTTCCTTTGATTACATCCCAACTCTGCCCAAACCATCCCGTGTTAGAGACAAGTTCCTGGAACAGAGCATGGACACTGAGAATTCTGCAAATGAGTCTGAAGATGGTGATGCAGATGATGAGGAGTGGAAACCAAGGAAACTGGCTAAAGTGCCCAGGAAGACCATGCAAGGGTGCTCCTGCAGGGGATGGTGTAAGAACAGACACTGTGGGTGCAGGAAACAAGGGGTGGACGACACTGTGACCTGTGGCTGTGACCCCACTAAGTGCCGGAACCTCCAGAAAGAACAAGATAGCTTGGGTACTATTGAGTGGAACCAGGATTCTGAAGGCTCCTTCAAACTGGAGGATCCTACAGAGGTGACCCCAGGACTGAGCTTCTTCAACCCTGTCTGTGCCACTCCCAATGCCAAGACCCTAAAAGAGACATGTGATATGGATCAGGTTCTGTTAAGGAAGACTGCTCTTGCAGTTTCTTTAGACCCCCCAGACATAAAATACAGAGCAACAGAATCCCAGGAAAATAAGGCCACAAGAAAGAAGAAGAAACGAGCTCTGACCAACAACAGCAGCTTCTTTTCTGGCTGCTCTCCTACCACAGAAGAGAACCCCTGAGAGTGTAGTCAGCTCAGCTCTTCCCATCCACCCTAGCAGACACTTCCAAGGTACAGCAGGATAGAGGATGGTTTTCTAATGACTTCCCTGGGTTTTTGTTTTCTTGCTATTGAGAAAAAGGGACACAGTATTATGTAACAAAGATGGTCTTCGTTGAGTGTTGGCCCTTTGTCTTCAGACCCACACCCAGGACCATTATTCTCTTCTGCAGAATGGAAGCCACCTACAGAAGACCCAGGGACACTTCAGGAGTCAATCCCCACGTCAATACAGCTCCTTGTTTGTGATCACCCAATCCTGTCTGCTCACAGATGTGAGGCTGATGCCTTCCTCTCTTGAGACTGTCTCAGCTTGAAGGAGAAGCCTGGTCCATATCGAGCCTGGCTCAACTCCTTCACCACACTCAGGAATTGAGCTGGGATCATTCCTGTCTTGACTGTCTGTATTTTAAATGTTTTACCAGCCCCCCAAAATTATTTTCATTTTTAAATGCTAAATAAATCAACCTTAACTATTCCAAAAATGACTATAGACTCTTCTGTACTGTAGTGTACAAAAATGGGTGACAAATTTGTTCAAAGTACAGAAATACAGTAAAAAGTACAGATAGCTGGAACAAAGATAGAGGCAATCCTATAAGGTCTTGGATAGGCAATGATTTTTCTACACATGTCACAAAATGAACAAGTAACAAAACTGAAAAATCCCTGAAAGAAAAAAAGCACAAGATGAAAGGTTTCTGTACCTTGATACTAAGTCTCCCTACTGACACAGTAATCTGAATCAAGCCAAATTAAGATAAAAGACCAGGTTTATTGGTAAAACACTCCCAGGTGACTCTTCCAGCCCCCAGAGATGAGAATGGGAGAAGGGACCAGAAGGAACCACGTAGCTGCTATTCAGGATGCAGTTTAAGTACCCTGTTGGTCTTAAGTATGGCTTGGTGGGTTTTCTGAAGGCTTGTCTGGAGGCAGGTGCAGGTGGGAAGCAGAAGCTAAAACAACAAGGACACAGTCTGAAATGGATACACAGCGTTCATACCTGGTTGTTTCATAGGAATTATCAAAACAAGAGTAAGTATTCTTTGAAACATTCAGGGAAAAGATCCTAGATAGGAAGAAGGCTCACACTGCCATAACTTAGCAATACAGAATGCTGGAAGAAAATGAAGCAACATTTTAAGGGTTTACTTTTCACCTAGAACTCAATAAATATTAACCAGTCTAGGTGGTAAGTGTAAGAGCAAAATAATCACAATTTATACATTGGAAATACAATGAACACAGCCTGAATTTTGAACACTCAGTGTTTGACAAACACTTTATTGTAGGGATTTCCATTTTCCTGTGTTCCTTGTTCTATATGCAGTGGCAAGCTTGTGTGTGGGGGAAATCCTGTTTAGAGGTACTGCTGACCACACCTGCTTGGGGCTGGCCACAGGTGATGTAGCAAGGGTTTAAGTATCAGAGAGGCTCACATGCGGCCCTCTTTTTGATCTTCTGCTCAGCTCTGGTGGGTTACTCCTGCTCCAGTGTAAACCTGGTCACTGGCTCTGTTGGGTGAGTACTATTTCTTAATAAACTACCTGTTATCCATTTAGTTCTGACTCCACATTGGGTTCGGCTTTACTTATGGACTGAGCAGGAGCCAGGAGGGTCTAGACTAACTCTCAGAGTCCTTTCCAGAGGTTGATTCCACAGCTTTTCCTGGACCTGTTCAATCTTCCTCTAGGCCTACTTTACTAGTTATTTCCTGGATGATGATTGTAAGGATCACATTTTCCTTCAAGTAAATGCCTCTTTACAACTGGTCTGTTTCTGCCACACTCTCGGTACAGCTAGAACTTAGAAATTCAGATGCCATGTCTGATTCTTAGGAAGTTACTATGTACAGAAAAGCCCTAAGACCAATGAAAGATGAGTTCTGGGAATGACTAGAGGGCTTTAATACTGACAGCAAGTATTTCAGAATGGAATAAGATGGTACAGGGTTTCCTGACTTTAAAACAAAACAAATTATGTACATCTGTACCTGTATCTATCTATTCATCTGTCACCTATCTCTAGTATAACAACTAGGACAATTTCATTTTTCAAAAACAAGGAATTTCTGTGTCAAGCTCTTCCCTTATACCAGGGCTCCTTGATTCTGTTTTTTGTTTGCCATTTCCTGTCAGGCAGGTGTCTGTAACAGGTGTTTCTGACTTTCCATACTTGCTCAGTCTGCACTGTACTCAGTCTTGAGTGATCTGGATTGGAGAGCTGGGCAGCCCTTTGTTTTGCAGTTATTTTAATTGACTGGAGTGTAGAAGTTTTGTTTTAGTTAGAGTTTCCATTGCTGCTATGAAACACCATGACCAAGTTGAGGAAAGGGTTAATTTGGCTTACACTTCCATATCACTGTTCATCGCTGAAGGAAGTCAGGACAGGGACTCAAACTGGGCAGGATCCCGGGGGCAGGAGCTGATGCAAAGGCTATAGAGGGGCACTGCTTTCTGGCTTGTTTTCCCTGGCTTGCTCAGCTCACCTTCTGAGAGAACCCAGGATCACCAACCCAGGGATAGCACTGCCCACAATGGTCTGGGTCCTCCCCCATTGATCACAACTTGAGAAAATGCCGGCCAGTACAGTTCTACACGAATCATTTAAAGATAATTGAAAAGATGGCATGCAGCTTGTTGATGGATTGCTTCTGAGTTTGGATTTTGGGGTTATCCAACAATAAGCTATTACATGGCATGCAATTACAAAGGATCATGGAGTAAAGGTATATTATTGAGTTTGCTCATTGAGTGGGACTCTGATTCAGTCACTTTCATGTCAGCAAATGTTTGTCCTTATGTCAAAGACCCATCATGTAGTTTTGGTGTGTATTGGTGGGAGAGTCACATTTGAAAGAGAAATGCATAGAAGCTGCTTTGGAATTAATTGTATCTGCACACTGATTTCTGTCTCCGAAGTTCCTGAGTATCTGGCACTGAAATAGATGCCTGCTGTGCTTGTTTGCCCCGTTTACAATGAGTCTGAAGATGGACACCTGTATCAGCAGAGATTTTACTTGGTTTCAGGACTACCTGACTACAGATGGCTTCCTTCTGTATAAACTTGGGAAAGCTTATGGTCATTGCAGTAATTAATAAGAAAAAGACATCTCTTGATATACCAGACTAAGTCAACTATTCAGGAAGTTGCTAGAGCTAACATAAAACAATTCCATAGGAGTTTTTTTTTAAAATAAGGTTATATGGGTAGAAATGACTAAATAAATAAATACCTTGCTCATGGGTGAATTGACAATCCCAACTGCAGTTAAACACTGCAAACCAACAATACTTTTTGCAACTTAGGCATGGAAAGGAAGCCAGAGACAGGATCCAGTTCATTAATAGCACTTTGGATGGTACAGTACCAGGCCAAGGAAGGAAAGGATAGCGTCTTGCAGAGACTGAAAATAATAGCATTTGATGCCAAAACTTCAGCTGTGTCCGTATTCAAGAGCTGTCCATGTATGGGCTGCTTTCTCTTTGGTTTGCCACTGGGTGTCATCAGCATCACGTACTAGGGAATCTGCTCAGTTAATACAGGGAGGAAGGCTTTATACGAGAGTGATAGGAAGTATCTGTCTAAAAGCTAAATGAAAAACTAGGATCTTATAGAAGAGAGCCAAGAGCAGGAGTCGGATGTGGAGGACCTCTATTGCAGAGTTCAGGAACATGTTAGAAAAGAAGGAAGATTAAATCTTTACAGATATAAAATATTGAAAGGATTTGAAATGATTGGAGTCTATTTATTGAATTTAGATATTTAGTCATGATATATTTACAGAAGAGCTCAAGGCTAGACTAGTCTACTTTGTTAGTTCCAGGACAGGCAGGGCAATATAGAGAGATCCTGTCTCAATAATAACAACAACAACAACAACAACAACAACAACAACAACAACAACAACATGGAAGTGTGATTTATAGGGAATACAGTATTTTTACCTACAATATAAATTTCCCTAGATTTTAAATAAAATTTATACAAACAAAATCAAGTCTTTAAAATTTAGGCACTTAAAAAAAACTAGTAACTTTTTTCATGAATCAAATTTAAGAACCTGAGGTTAAAAGTGGTGTGATTTTTTTCTAATGTAGCATGGAATGCTTATCTTACTAGTTATTTTAAAAGTTACTTTTTAACTTTATACTTAGTTTCATTGTTATAATATCGGCATATGGACCCACAAAATGGGGGGAGAGTCTCCTGATTGATCTTTGTAAAATGACTAGGAGATAAAGAGAGTGGCAGCCCCAGCCCATGCCTCTGTAGCACTCAGTGGGCACATCGTCCAGTCCTGCAGGAAGGAGAGGCCCCTTTAGTCTACCTTGCCTTAACCAAAACAGCCCAGTATTTTGTTTCATTTCACTATTATTTTAAATATTGACTTTACTTCTAAAATTTCCATCAATTAAAAAGGATGTTTCCAAAACTAATATCCATCTGTCTGTCTATCTATCTATCTATCTATCCATCCATGTTTATGTTATGTAAACTTTAATAAAAATTTATGATGTAGAATATGGATATATACATTCTTAGTTAGGGTTTCTATTGCTGTGAAGAGACACCATGACTACAGCACTCTTAGAAGAAAGAAAATATTTAATTGAGGTGACAGCTTACGTTATCATCATGGTGGGGAGCATGGTGGTGTACAGGCAGACACGGTGCTTGAGAAGGAGCTGCTACAGGAAGTGGACTGTCTCACCAGACATGGCTCCAGCATACATGAGACCTCAAAGCCAGTATCAACAGTGGCACACTTCCTCCAATAAGATCACACCTACTTTAATAAGGCCACACCTCCTAATAGTGCCACTCCCTTAAGGGACCATTTTCTTTTAAACCACCACATGTACACACAAATAATTTATTGTCACACCTCTATTAAGGCATATCATGATTACATCTATCGTCATGTAATCAGACATGATGTCAACTTAGATGTCATAAGTA